GTGTTGGGCACATCTGATGAAAGGAATCAGGAAAATTCTTCTGATTTCAGTGACATGTTGTAATTCTCATTTCTAACAAATGTGCATTTATGACGGTACTCATCAACTTTTGCCAATTATTAAACTATAAAACCTCATCGCCTTATTGAGCACAAGGTTGCATATATCAATGACCCGAACATGGCGATCATTTGTAAAATTTATGTGATCATATTATCTCACTGGTGCTCTACACAGATCAAATAGTTAAGGATGGTGGCAGCCAAGTACCCTAATTATACAATATTCATGGACTCAAATATCGGAAGTAAGATGTTGACCTCAAGACAAATATACTCTCTGGGCGGCTAAAATAATGCTCCACCAGAACATCTTAAATACCAACCACCATCTGCATGCTGAAATGTTAGTGTGATGATGGGCTGAAGAGAACTTCTCACAAAATATGAATGCTCACACACTATTGCTTTTCAACACCAACTATTCCGTCAATTATTCACTTTCAACTGATAAACAGAGTATTTCTAGTGATACGTCATCCAGATGGGCCATCTCATTGAAGATTTCACTGAAGAGTGAAATACGCTGTGGTGAACGCTAATGTATTGTCAAAGTTATTGAAGATAGGACGAATTCTCAGTAAACAAAAGATTTTCAGGATTAGATATAAGAATAATGAATGCATGAACAAATCAAAGATCGATTGCTCAAAAGAATATCAAGAGGGTTTCTGAAGAATCGGATAAGGAGCAAATGTCCGAAAACATCCATCCACCGATTGCTCGATGATTTTCGACAAATGTCAAAAACAAGTTTACTTCGGTTCAACTCGCTGAAAGTTTTCTCTTATAATCACCAACAACTAATCTCAAAACATAGTCAGAATTGAACGCTAATGAATTAGCGTTCTGTTATTGAAAAGAGCTCATTCGATCATTTATTCATTTCGGCATTCCAGCATTCAAATCGAATCGATCATTCGTTCGTTTTGCTCAATGAGCATACTGAAAACTTAATTCGTTTTTGTCATTGTTGTTATTTTGTTGTCAAAAAATACGCTGAACTGAATGATGATTCCGGCGAAGTTAATGATATTAATTGTTGTTAACTTAAACAACTTTTTTATCACAAACATTTCATTCAGACTTTCATCAGATTTATGAGATTAGTGAACCAGTAAGCAAATACAAACGAAGTGAATCTCCGTAAGTTTCCTAATTAGGATAATCCAAGATGGGAAACCTTGAAAGCTTTCTAAACCTAAGGATCGTCATGGATTATGAATGGCTTGACATGATTCACATTTCAAGCACTGATCTATTGACCGATCCACAACGTTCACAACACTCTTCAGTGCGAATTCATTTAAGCTTACTTGCACATTCACTAAACGATCCTTAATGAAACGATGTTGAATGAAATAATCAGATCGAGAGAAGCGAAAATAAGACTAACGGTCACACAAGATCTTGAGGTAGAAGTTTGTTAACTGAACGAATATATCTATCACGAAATCTAGCATCAGAACTTCCTATTATCCTGTTATCACAAGAAGAACAGATTCCTATTATCACAAGAACAGATTCAGTGCTGTGTTCCAATGAAAACAGTTGCGCGTTTAGTTTATTCGGTTCTTTATTATAAAATCTATTTGTTACATCGACCAATTCCAAAGCATTGTTCAAAACAGAAAAATGTGGGTGGAAACGTGCAATAGTTGCATATAAATTTGGAGATATTTAAGAAATATTACTGCAGTTTGAAAAAAAAGTAATATTACTGCAATTTGAAACTCTCAAAACACAATTGCGCTAAAATTTCAAGCCATGCATGAAATTATTACTGTGAAATTTTGAGGATTACTTTTGAAATCGCATTGTGTTTTCGCATAAGAAATTTGCAAATTGATGATTGATTGTTCATGCACAAGAGTGATGCGTGGTGCCGGAAGTGAGCTGGAACACTAGAAAATGATAAAAATTTGACAATTTTCGGAAGTTGCACGACAACACTCATCCGAAATTTAATGGTGAGCAGACCAAATTTTTGAAAATTTTCAAGCGTTCGGACACCAGAACTTCACAACTCTTTCACGATCCGTCCTGGATTATCAGAAAATCCACAAAATCCGCCAAACGATCCGCACTGCTCATCAATTGAGGTGTTCAGTGAAGCTAACAACACCTGAACGAACTGATCGAACGCAACCGCTCAAATATTCTCGAGTGAAGGGTGTGTGTGTGTGTCGAACGTATCACTGAAAATTTTTCGAAGATCATTGTTGTGAGTTTAAAATGCCCAAAGAATGATAAATCGTTTTATAGCACAGATGTTGATGAAAGAAAGAAGATGTAAGAAGTTAATTGTTGATGTGATAAATTAAATAAAGCGATATCGCTGACACTTGAGGGAGTGAGGAATGCATCCAAGAAGACAACATTGCGTGAAGACCCGTAATGAGCGCTGTGAGTAGTGAATGAGTTTAAGAAGCACATATCGGCATTCAACAATTTTGCCACAATTAAAAGCTGAGGGATTGTAAAGGCGTAACACGGCTACCGCCACTATTCCAATATGTACTTCATCATGAAAATCCACCCAAATCCATCAAACCAGTTTTTCATACATAATTAACAGAACTGTTTGAACCTTAGCAATATCGCGGTGATCCGTTTCGTATTTAGGGTTAATCGGATGATGTGAACAAATGTTACTGACTAATTGTGAGTAAATGATGGGAAATGACACACCACCACTAACTGTCACTGTCATTATCAAATGCTAACTCAAAAACAACTCGAAATGATTTGACATGAATCGAATCAATGTTAACATAAGTGAATGCTGATCACTTAAACACGAATGCTGATCTATTTAATCCTACTAATAAACACAAGTCAAACAAACGTAAAAGTGTTGAGTAAATCTTAGGAAATGAGCTAATACGTTGTGCTGCTTCTATGATAGTTGATGTATTCTTGATCGGATCATATAAACAATATTATTTAACGCCTACAGACAGACAACGTAAGGCTGCTGCTGCTGCTGCTTGGCTGTTGTTCGGCATTCTTCACTCATCACTTGATTGCCTCCTCATCTGTCCAGCCGTAAGCACAAGATTATGACACATCGATGATACAACAGCGATTGCTTATTGCCTTCTGAACGGCTGGCGCATCACTTCCTCGTTTGTTACGTTCACTTGTTTGAGCGAACGGAAAGGAAAGCTTGACAAATGCTTTGCAATGATCGATATGGGATACCTTTGATCATTTAGGGGGGATTTTTAACGAGAACATTCACATTGTTGAACAAATTGCCTTGTGTCAATCAAATGAAATGATGAAACATGAAACAAGTGATTGAAATATTCATTTATGCATTATGTTCTGATCATATCAGGTCGAATGGATTGGATGGATCACTCCACAGGCGATAACAATCTTATTAACAGAACATATCAAAATTGATAGTCATCAATTCAACGATAACGTTATCAAGTTATTATTAACAAAATATATATAATATCATTAAAATATATCATCGAAATAACAACGCACTGACAAATTGATAAAAATGGCAAATTTGCGAATCGTTTCAAAAGCAAAATAAAACATTTTGAAGCAATTTTGATACGTGAAACATTGAACAAATAAGCAGTTGAATGAATCTGTATATATGACACATTAAGAAATGCAAATGAGAATACAAATAAAGTGGTTCATTGATGAAAATTGAAAGTATTTACGTCAACTATTTAAAAATATTATAGATCTCGCATCACAGTCGTTCATCTCTCAAAGTCGCCATACACACATAAATGAATAAGATGGATTCTGAGATTCAACATGGACATGGTAACAATCTACAAAAGGACATCTCTGATTGCCAGCTAAATTGCATTAAACATTCCGCTAATCTGTCTCATTGCAAGTGAACTCAAACTGAACTAAGTCTGAGGAAAATGCACCGTGAAACATATCAACACATTGAAGTCCTAAGAAGCTGATATAACGAACCGGACATCTTATAACGGCATCTCTCCATTTCAGTGAACATCACATGAATATCGTATCGATCATGAGGGTCATTTCACACAGATGAAATCGCACTGTACTTATCTTTCACTGAACTATTACTATTCACATGACTGATACTTAATATTCTCAAATCAACAACAATGATCAATCCCGTTGGCATTTTGAGTTAACCTAATTTTAATACTGTGTGATTCTCAAAATCCATAGATAGCTTGAGTCATGAAATCTTGACGACACCATACAACGAAGTCTTCGCATAACTCACAAACAAATGAATCAATCAAACAACTCAGAAATAGCTCTGACGAGTATGAAAAATGTAAATACAGACAAGACAGATCAGATATCGACGCACGATCCAACAAAAACACTGATTATGAAATGAATAACAATACCACAACAATAACGATAGCTATAACGATCCACATCATCATCATTATGGCTATAATTATTGATGGAGAATACCCGTTAATATGTAGTAGCAATAGAGAAAAATCTCACTCAAAATGTGGCTTTTTCACAAAAGAACGGATGAATACATTATCCTCTTCGTTGGCCTAACTTTCTGGATATTTTCAATCCGCCGGTTTCTCAATAGTATCTGCCGTACCACTTTCACGAAGGCATTACAAAACACTCAATCAGTTCTTAAAAACCTGTTTTCAAAAAAATATGAACCTAAAGCCAACCAGATGATCACATATATTGATTCTACTTCGAATTTTCAACAAAAAAAAAATCAACAGAAGCGCCACATGAATATAATATAATGTGAAATTGAAGAGCATCTAAAATAAACTGAATCACCATTGTACAGCGCTGAATTCAAAACAAAATGAAAATCTACTGAACTGAAGTGGATTGCAATTGTTACATTCAACACCATTCAGTATCCCAACAACTAAGGCATACAAAACCAAAACAAAATAATCAGTTGCTTCCCAACGACTGCCACTCAGATTAGCGTTGCTGTTCTTGATTTATTTGTTGTGGTTGCTGTGGTTGGTGATGATGGTGGTTCTGTTGACGTTTATAGGTCTTCGGAGGCAACGGAGGTGGTGACGATGGACTCATCGAAGAATCCAAATTGTTCGGCGAAGACGGCTGGGACGGTGAATCCATATAAGCAGCGTTTACAATTGATGACGACGCATGCACTTGACGTCGTAGCGTTGAGTCACTGCAAGTCACTATTAGAATTATTAGACATCACACTCCTTCGATCAGATTCCATCTAGATCCAGAAGATCCATGAAAATGCTGCATGATAGAATCTTATCCTTATGTATCATATTCATATAACTATCGTATCATTCATAAATTTTAAATGTCACATTTTGATTTATCGAATCACCGATCATCGAAGCTTCACTATCACAGAATAACTTTCGAGCAATATTTACGGTTACAAATAAGCGAACTATCTCAAGAGATCATTGAAAGAAGATATGCTAGATCACGGGATATGCGAACAATTCCGTAAGATCATAGGCAAATACTACCTTTTTGGTGGCCTAGGCGGAGCATCGCTGGTGGTCGCTCTTCGAGGATATAAAGGTGGAGTATTCTGATTCTGAATCAGCGTTGAATTCGTATCGGTGGCTGGTGACGACGAGTTTGCAGATGCAGACGGTGTGGGCAAAGGAAGAACCGCACTCACAATAGGCGTTTGTGGTGATGCCTCACTAAATATTCAAATGCTTCAGTGTTTTCATTTTGATGACAACAAAAAGAAGTGATGCAATNAAATGACAAAACAATCGAGCAATCCATTCAAAGAAACAAACCCGCTCCAGACAACTCGTATGGCATCGGGCGGTAACGGTGCCGGAAGTGCTTCAGCCTTTCGTCGAGGAGGGACTGCAGGCAGCTGAGGGGGAGGTGGAGGAGCAGTCGCAAAAGTGGCGCAACCATTCGGTGATGTCATGACGTTGCTCGAGTCAGCAGCAGCAGCTACCAGAGTACGATTCTGATCAGCAGCCATCAAACACATGCTGTTCGCATTCGGTGGAAACACAAACGATGATTCAGTATGGCGATGACCTGAAACAACACTGCTAAGTTCAATGTGATCATTGTTGATCTAAGTCATTAAAAATAACCAAACTATCATTCTCCTATGATCGCGGCATAATTTGTGGCCAAAAATATGATCTGAGGGTAAATTTTGACTTAGTTTAGCCCAGACGGGCAGTTAAGCATGCAATGAAATTTTTTTTCCGGAGCATTAAACGCTGACATTAAAAGGACTTTTTCGCAAAACAAAAACGAACTGAACTTATGCGACTGTGCACAGCTATCCCAAAGGATCGCATCTGCATGATATCAATCCGAATTCATCATTAGCATATGATTGCTAAACATCAAAAGCAAGCGATTCTCGAGCGCTAATTACTAACTTCAATTCGAGGCAAGTTGTGAACGCTCGAAACTAAATTCTATTCCATTCAAATGATCATCGAATCCCTATTCAGTTCGTGAACACAAAGAAAGAAACAATTCGAAATGACGTTTTACATTCCATTTCGTCAGCTAACGATACATTTCGCAAACAACCCTTCACAAAAGTCTATCATGCGCATCCATCAAACTCTGTTTACAAAACACTTCGTACTTTAACCAAGACAAAAACTTGTTATCTTTGTTTTTTTGCCGTTTCCGCTGAATTTACACTGTGAATCAGTTCATTTGCAATTATCGCACCAAATATCAAACGCAAAAAGATGCACTTTCAAATAACACAAAACAAAATTCGTTTCGAACACAACGAATTAAAAAAATTGTGATCATTTCAACACAAACAAACAAATGTAACCGAGCAAACAAAAAACATCGCAAAAATCCTATAATCAATCTATTCATATGATCGATTTGGTTGCTTATAAGCTGTACACCGCCGCGTTTGAAAACAGAAATATTTTATGTGGTGAACGAACGATAACAAATGCAAGGTACTAGCTATCTTATAATTGATCATCACCAAATCTTTATCTAAACATCTTTTTCAAAGATACTGAGTAGATCACCTGTATGAGCAGTGGAACACCTTTCTGGTGACAAAGGACTCGCTGGAGCCGTAGATGATGTGGGATGCGATTTGAAGGGCAGTGGGGGTAGGACAGGAGATGGGAAAAAGTGAGGAGATGTCCGGCGCGGATACAACGGCGGTGCATGGGAGGTTGGTTGGGTTTTTTGTTGGTGCTGGCTTTTCGATGAGGATGATGGCGACAGGATTGCGTTACTTATCAGCGGACTTGGTGGACCGGATCGGGCTTTCTCTTTGCGTTGACGCGGTATCAATGGAGGTGGCGGAATTGCGGAATTCAGCGGAAGCGGACTCAGAGGCGATGCTTCACCGCGACGAGCATCACCCAAATACCGTGGTTGATAACCTGAATTGCGCAACTGAGACGTTTTCTTTGCATACGAAACAATTTTTTTGAAAAAGGTTACATGTTCATCGCATATCACGAACAATATCGCATTTTTCACATTCTAACTCACGCATATGTCCAGAAAGTCTCGTGATAAACTAAGTCCTCCCCAGTGCTTCAAGACTCCTTCAGGGGAGGAATCCGTTCTACAATATTCTTCCGTCGAAATAGTGTTATGCAAAAAAATCTTCAAATCCGTCACAAAATCGATATTTATTCAGTAACAAAAGCATCATCCATTTACCGGGATTAATCTCCACCATGCCCAAATGCGAATTTCGTTCGTCCATTTGAGAGCTGCTTTCAGTGAACGATCGCGGTCTGAAAAACGTGAATTCACTGTCCTATTCAAATGCTGAATGCTGAATTATCCACATCACATTCTTACCAACGCTACTGTCATCATAATACTGACTCACTTAAAATTTATACACCAATCAATCTTCATTAATGTCTCTACTCCTCATATTAACATTTAGCTGTATGGAGATCAATTCAGAAGCTTCTCAAATGGACCATCCCTTTCCAGAACAATTACGGTTATGTTAACAACCAGAATCTCTAGTGAATTAAGCAGAGTACAAGGCAAGGTCCGCACAAGACTGATAGCAAATGAAATCTTATATAAGAATTCACCAAAAACAATGCGATGAACAGGAAATGAATGAATGAATCAATGAGGTAATATAGAAGACTAGATAGCCAATGAATATCGTGATGCTTAGCAATCATCACAAACCGAATATCTGAACCTATTATCCGGAAGTTTTTTCATCAACTAATTAAAATTGACAGATCAAAACAGCCAAAGAGCACATACAAACGCACACCAAACAAACAGAATGAATGAATGAAATAAATAACGAAATAACGTTTTATTTCAACTCAATTGAAAGCAGCACCACATTTTGCGGTGCTTCAATTAACGCTAATGTGATATTGGATAAACGACGACGAAATGAATTCGCCGCCATATCCATTTCGTTGAAATGGTAATACGAGAAAAGTAATCAGTCGAATCTGACAAGTTTTGAACGCTCACTGAATTATTCCACCCTAAAACATCACAATATACCTACTGAACTTGAAACATTTCTCAAATTACAACTGATTTTTTGTTCACGAGAGATGAAAATTTTACAAATTGTTTGGGAGACCAATTGCTTAAAATATACTTGACCAGGAGTATCATTATTTCGTTTCATTTCAGACTGTCACGTTAGCACAAATTAAACTATAAGGGAAAATAACAATAACAAAATAGAGAATATTCTAAAAGCAACACAATAACAACAACAAGAGCAATAATTAGAACGAAGTATTGAAGAAGAACATATGAAAAATCAGATGGATGATATTTGATGAATGGAAACGAAAAGAAAATAGGATATCAAGTAATGATCAGAACAGCGCTGGTGATGATGAATTTAGTAAGAAAAAGGAAAACCATCCCTTGAAACATCGAACGAATGTGAAAACTGCAACCGGAAATGGCGGTGAAAATGTTCGAACTAAACTGAATGGCAAACAACAGATAGAAATTGTGAAAATGTGTGAAAAACACACAGAGAATTTCTAAGAAAAATGAAATATGATGGAATGGAACGGAACGGAATGCAGGAATGAAATGCAACGAGATGAAACGAAATAAAACGAAATTGACACAAAATATTATGCATAAAAGAAGCAATTTTGGTAACAATTGCAATTGTAAGAATATGAACAGAAAAGAATGAGAATGAAACGTGAAAAGCGAATAAATGGGATGAATTAAGAAAGCGAACAACGCATATTGCTTTCATGAAAGAACAAGCCAAGAATAACTTAAAATGCTTTATAATTTTCAATCTTCTCCAATACTTTCTCTGTTTCATTCACCTCACAGAAATTCATTTTCAACACAAATTCAAAACACTGCCACTAATGCGATCAAGATCGAGAGATATGAACGAGATAACTGCAATGAGCAGTTATTATTAATAACAATAATAAGACAACGGCAATATGAAGCAATACGATGAAATGATTTATGTCATATGCAATTCTAACAAATACTTCACGCGGAGTGGAATAAAATCATAACTTTGGAAAAATTCCTCCATAAAACATTTCGTTGACATTCTTCTTGTTGAAGTAAAGAATTCTTTCAAGATTGAATGAAAAAACTGAAATGTGAATGCTCAAATGTACAAATATATATATTCAAACAATACGCCAGCATGAGTTCTTTACCGGAAGTGATCATAATAGAGAAATTAAACGATCAAACTGTCACGCATTACTAAACGAAATCAACTGAAAATTGAAGGGTCGACTGAAAAAATACAGAGAACTTGCACAGTTACTAACACTGAAAAAGTTTCACTCGACATCGCTGTTTACAACCTGTCAGAATTCATAAAGAGTACCACACAATGCTGTGCAAAATTTATTACGTTTCATTTGAACTTTTCTTTAGGAATCCTTTCAAGCGAAACCTAACCATTAGTAATTAGTAGGCAGTAATGTGTAAACGATGATAACCAAAAGATTACTACGAAAAAATTTAAAAATGATTCAAAGTATTCAGAAGCATGGACAATACGACAATATGAGAATCTAGCAGAATGATTCTTCTATTTAAGACGATAATATCAAGAGAATGCAATGCGTCCATATATTGCGTCAAGAGAATGAGATATTCAGATTCGGCTGTCGCAAATGAGGACATCACTTTAAATATGCTAAATGTCATCGAGTCATACTCTGCGCAATTCGCTGATTGGGAATTTCGAGTGAAATTAGAGAACTCACGTGTCCGGTGCTGATTCATTGAACATCCCAGGACTGTACGTGTTGAAGTTGGCCGTGAAACCTCGTCCACTGCTCCGATAACCGGAATAATGATTCGACGGACCACTCGTCGAAGCGACAGACGATAGCGTTTTCGGAGGTTTTATGCCGGGTGATTTCAGTACACTGGCCGGTCTTGATGGCTTCTGTAAAGATCATTGCTCAGCAATGACGAAATCGAAATAACAATAATAATGACAACAATTTCAACTGTTATTATTATAACAATAATATTAAAAGCGTTACAATGTACAACACTTACAATAGAATCCAGTTTCTCTGCATCTTTCGGTTCAACCTTCAACGACTGCTCCCACATATATGTTTCCAACGACTCCTTCCCATCGAATCCATTCAATGGATTTATCGTTTCAAAGAACTGCTGAAATGCAAGCATTCTTCAGGAAACTGTTCAGTAATGGTCACTTGAAACAAATAATAAAAAATGACTATTGAAACAATTAATTGAATGTTCCACTCATTGTTTGGAATTTATCATCCCATTCCACTTCATTGGATTCAGCGATTTCACAGAACCGTCCCCAACAAACCAACCAAATTCAGAAAGTTATTGAAAGCCTTCCGGAGCCAAACTCTATGTGACTGTCAAAATGTTCGTATCAAAAAATGGATATAACCAGAGATATAACTTAACCAAACATGTTCACGTACACTCACGAATACCATATTTCTTTCTACACACCCAATTACAATTGCTCATTTCAAGCAATTCTCACAACTACACAATAACTCATTCATTTGTAAATCACATTAATAATAATAGATTTCATACAAATGGTTTTCAAACTTCATCGCATTCAAAATCGTTCCATCTAATTTATAAATTTCAAATAATAAAGAAAAATGAACATTTCATCTGAAAAAGATAAACAAACATCGTCCACAAGTTTGTTCTCCACGCAATTTAATCATTTCTAAATGTATTCAGTCAAATCGTTGACATTTCGGAGCACATCATGAAAGACATTCGAAATGTGAATGCTCACATATAATGAATGAATCATGCATTCTGAATCTGAATCACTTTTACTGATTCAACATGCATTCATCAGATTTACCAACGATATCACTTCCGTTTACAACTCATTCTTGGTCTTTTCTAGGCTACCATCATCGCAGACCAGTGAATAATGGAATACGACGGAAATAATGTGACTCATGAACCTCGACAACAAAAACGTCAAGTATTAATATAAAATATCAACGTTCATCCATTTTGATACGATACTAAGCATGTGCTGAATTAATGATATAATATGAGCGTGCATAATATCATATCAAACAGCGATAAGAATAGAACCTAGAAAATGAGTCACAATACTCAAACATGAATGCACGACTGTTGCCGATCACAAATTCAGCCATATTTGTATGACTCAGTATAAAGCAGATTGATATACCCGATTATTAAGTATGTATCGCACTTCAATGACATAAGACAACAGTACTGTAAGTAACCAATTCACAAACGGTAATATAGGCAGGCATATCAACTAACAAACAAACTGCTGATATAAACAGTCGAAGATACATACCCCAGCATCCGAAGTTGACGGTGTCGAAGGAGGCGACTGTGCACAACAATAGCATAGATTACACGGTAACATTGAATAGTATTTGCAAATTTTTGAAATGTGTTAGAGTTTGATTCAGTCAAACTGTAGATACTCTCATAAAGCGTAACGATAGAGCAAGATGATTGGATGGATGGCTTTTTCGGTGCTCTGATACAATATCTGCTTATCAAACATCATTTAGTTACACGCATTTAGATGATTTCTTTACAAATCGCAACCATATCGCATGCAAAAATCGCTTAATCACATACGCCGAATTTCTGCAGAAACGACGATACACAACACAATCATGATTCAATGCGAGCAGAATGGCTTAAAAATGAATGAATGAATATGAAACGAATATATCTGATAATCTAAAAATCTTATAATTTTCGCCAACAATCCAAATCTTATAGTCTTCGCTTGTGTAAAGTTAAACAAAGATAATGGCTTTAAGAAAAACCAAATATGCGTGAATGTCAAACAAAAACCAAAAATGAAATCAAAAACTCAAACAAATAAAACAAAAGTACGAACGCTAAAGTATTCTCATTTCAATAGGTGATGAGGACTGGGTAAAATACCGCTGTTGGAAAGAATTTTGACTAAAATGATTCGATGAAACTGCAAAAAGACCCTCCCCCTAACACCAAGCAATTACATTCATCTGCCCATAACCGCATTAAAACTTAGGGAACACACAATATGTCCCAGAAAATTTTATCATTTTACTGAAAATCACAACATTTCACTGCATATTTGTTGCAAACAGTACTGTAGCAGTAGCACTAGTAGTAACAGTGAAATAATAGACATCTACTGATCGTGATCGTGATCACTCTTCCAACGATAAGCGATAGGATAGATAGGATATGAGATAATCTGTAGCAGTGAAATTGAGTGAAATATTCAATTAAATAAGCTAAGGATGAAGATACGGACAGTATATAGCGATAGCTACTAGCTAATGTGATGATATGATAATAGCGAACAAATGCAATAACGAGACGAACAATAAGATGCAATAACACTGAAGAAGAACGGAAGTAATTCATTCTTCTTTTTACGATCATTCCAATAGATCACTTCACTGCTCAAGATTGAGTTTCGAAAATAAAGATTGTGAAGAAAATTGCAGCCGAGAAAAAAGATATATGGATAGATGCACGACGCACGATAAAAATGATGATGATTATTGTTATTGCTAAGGTGTTAGTTCTATAACAACAACGAAGAACGTCCGTCAGAGATAGATATAATATGTTCAAGAAGTGTTCGGCTATGTTGCGACGAGATGGGTAAATGAACAGAAACGATTTATTGTGCAAAAGTAGTTGGTGAGGATGCATAGTGAGTTAGATTACGATTAGATAACTGCTTAGCCGGATACAGGCCAAGTGATATTGGGACGATGAAACAAGAACTGAGCGCATAAAAACATTTGTTAAGATGTTACTGATCACAATGAAGAGAATGAGAAAATGAGATAGATGCGCTCTGAACAGATATAAAGAAATGCAAAAGCTTTTAAAACAAGAAGAAGAAGATATGAGAAGTGAACAGAGGAGATAAATAAGAATTTAAGGTGTTATAATGTTAAATCTCTGCATTCGTTTTAAACTTATGCTGCAGAATGGTATTTATATATAACAGGTAGTTGAATTAGCGAAAATTTTCTTTCTCTCAATTATCACAGAGTTCAAAGAGGATTGTAATTACTTCCACTGAAAAAGTAACGAAAGAAGTGTAATTTTTTTAATTGAAAAATTACTCTGAAAGATCAGTGATTGAATCGAAAGAAGATTAAGATTCGACAGCATCGAATAAGCTGTACCAGTGAGAAAACCAATGAAGACGAATATGATATATAAGGGTTCGATGGAGAGTTACGAAAATGTTCACCAATGAAAGTAATGTAAGTGATTCAGGAATGTTTCTAGCGTAATAACAACCAACGATTCATAACTAATTTCATTCAAATATTCACACAGAAGTGCTCAAAAGTAACGAAGAATGAAATTCTTCGTTAATGTAATATTTCCATTTCAAGGAATAATAATTTCCCCATTTCAACAGCAAATCTTCATATTTGCACAATTTGTAAGTACCATCTGCATATCTTATTCAGCCAGCACATAAACTTATCAGTTATCTCAAAAACTTCTACGGATATATCGCCATCCAGTACGCACCAACACGAATAAATCGTCCACATTTACACGTGTGTCTAATCAAATCTCCCATCTATAAGCATTAATTTATTTCGACCTCTCTCAGAACTTTAATATCTCAAAATTCCAGTCAAATAACTGACATTCCAGAAGGTTCACCTCAATTCCAATCAATCACTTGAATGAACGAATGCTTTAAGTTAATTGGTTAATTATTTTTATTGCAATCTGATGAGTGAATGATGTTGCTGCTGCTGCTGCAATCACTGTCTCAAAATCCTATCTCAATCTCTCAAAGCATCCAGCAGAACGGATTCATTGAAAACTCTGCTGCTCATTACTTAATATTCAATACTGAGCAAGCACAGTCTGCTGGTGTCGTTCTTGCTTAATTCTGCTTTCATATATACTACATCACCATAACTCATCCGATCAAAGAAAACAACAATCAGAAAAAGACTACGAGATGTTCGAGTTAGAGTTAGAACAACAATTTGGATGTTTCAGTACACATGTATGAGTCTGTCCTTTTATCCACCATCTAGGTCGAGTACCTCTTCGTAATTTTTATCATCACAAAAATCATTACGATTTAACTATCACCATCATTCATTAGCCATATGGATGCATCATCCCACTGATGTCGGTCGGATAATCTTCTCCACATAATCAACAGCAATAGAAAGAAGTATAACTACAATCTAGTCAATAACAAGCAGATAACATAAATAATATCAAAAATCTATTATAAATAAAGACGATTAGACATTAAGATACCTGAAATCGTTGCATGTTATATACACGCCTAGACGACACACACAAGAAATTCACTGATTCATTCACGTTGCATCACACTAATTCACTCGCTCAAATACTCGTATCTCTAACGTTAGACTAACCGATTCAATGAACACAGATATCATTTCAACATAACGTTAGCTATTATTATGTAATATGACTTCGTCCTCAACTCGCCTAACTCCAGCAAACGCCCTTCAGAAAGCTCAGATCTTTCCAAGCCAACGCAAACACTCGCTCTAGCTTGAGCATTTCCGACTACTCGAACTATTTCGATCCCAGCTATTTCGCATCTTTTCTCTTCCGGTTTCCTCTTGAACTCTTCATTTTCGAGAACATATCTCAGGTGCTGCAATATGCATCGTCTAATCTACTCATCTAAATTCCACATAACTCATCATCAACATTTCTCTCTGACATTTCCTTCAAATCTTACCCGCTGAATCTTTATTTTCTCGACATTTATATCTTTTACGCAAATGCTCTACGGATATCCTCCTTTCGGCAATTCACACCAATGTCTTTTCATCCTTCGCAGCCATGAACATCATCCTTCTTGCTTCCTTCCTTCCCTCCGTCTTTCTGATAACAATAATGATAGTCATAAAATTTGATAGCCTACCGGAAGTCGTGCCACTCGTAAAACTGCATTCTTTCCTTTGAGTACAAACGACTATGCGCGCTGTCTCAATACAACACACAAACACAAAAAGAATTCTTAGCAAATGCAAAACGAATTCAGCAAAATATTTTGAGCAACATTATCTCAACAACAAAATGCTACGCAAAAATCAACCATCAGCGAGCTTAACAGATAAACTGATAAAAGATTTTAGTGGATCAGATGA